GCATGTGGGTGCCTGATGGGAGTGGGGTAGATGTCATGGACAGAATTCGCTGGTACAGAGACACATTTAGTGTATGTGCTTTTTAATATATATCACAGAATATACAGGTACGAAGTCTTACATATGTTATATAGGTGTCTTGCACAATTTCCAAAGGTACAAAAGACATTTCAAACTGTTCTTTGTTGATTTTTCTTGAGTGCCATTCAGATCCCACAATGCAATATATTTTGTACCATGGTAACTCCTCAAAACTTGTAGTGAATTTTGATACTGATCAGTTGTTACCAACTTTGTGTAAGCACAAACTGAGAAACATTTTACCCAAGTGGACTTATGTTTGAATAGAACCTTACAAAGCTTTCTGTTTATTGCATTTCTTATGAGGCTGTGAGATAATGTCAATTGTCAGGCTTGGTGAATTGGCTGATTGCATGTCCCAGACAGTGTTGGGCAACAGACTGAATGTCCTCAGTATGGTCATGGGTTACCTCCCCTTGATCAATCTCTCTGAATGTAGTATTAAAATTTGCAGCTGTTTGCAAATTCATGAACTTCTAAAGCATATTTCAAAGTATTTTTTGAGTGGCAGCAATATTCTCCTGTCACTTTAGATTTAGTTTCTGGAGGGAATGCAACAAAATGAAACAGGGATTAATTGTGTGGTCATTTATTATACATTCACATTCATATTTGGGGAGTTATTTCAGTTTTTTCATGTGAATATTACAGTTTTTCATGTCACATTTGCCAGTCTTCCTTATTCACACACTCAATCAACATTTATGTTTTAGTGTAATAATGTAATATTTTTAATTCTCCTTTTGGAAATCATGCCCCTCATCTAGGAATGTTTTCCTGTTCCTCTTGCACACATGTAATATTTATTTGTTACACACACTGAATCCACATTTATCTTAAACATATGCAAGAAAGTATTACAGACCTTATTTCTTGTGTTTAAAAATCATGCCCCACCTGATCATTATACATTTTCTCCCCCACCCTCTTCTTTTGCTACGCATTTGTTCACTCCCCCCAATCCCAGCCCCAACCCTCCTATAATAAATAACCAGTTCCTTATGTAACAGTTAATTGGGTGATAAGAGGTTACAAAGTACAACTCTTTGTTTGAAAAGGGGTGGTGGGGTAGCCTATTGGTTAAAGCATTTGTTTGTCATGCAGAAGACCCAGGTTTGTTTCTCACATGGATACAATGTGTGAAGCCCATTTGTGGTGTCCACCGTGATATTGCTGGAATATTACCCTCCACACACACACACACTCACTCACACACTCTGAAAAATGTCTGAAAGTGATCAGCAGATCTGTAAACTGAACAATTAAGTTGCTTGGCCTTATAAGCCCTCACATAACTCCTATGCAATAGCGCCATGTATTCAAAGAATTCGAGGGAACATGTAATGTCGTATTAAACTGAGTCGGCGCCTTGTGTGGTCGGACTGAAATAATCTATATTGAGCTGGAGGTGGTGAACTAGTCTCGTGTCCCTTGTTAGAGGGATTACGAGAAGATCATTGTGAACCTGTATCATGACTTTGGGTCATGTCAGTGGAAATTGCTCTATCATTCTCTTGAAGAATATCATGAATATTCTCAATAACATTTCTCTCTTTGGGTTTCCCCATCATGAATTAATTGGTGTTGCACTGGAGATTGCACGAATATTACAGGTTTGGCAAAGGTAGTCTTTCAGAATTTAGGGGGCGGTGGTGTAGCCCAGTGGTTAAAGCGTTTGCTCATCATGCCAAATGCCTGGGTTCGATTCCCCACATGATAACAATGTGGTAAGCCCATTTTTGGTGTCTGCGGACGTTGTTGAAATATTGCTAAAAGCGTTGTAAAAACCAAACTCACTCACTTTCAAGATTTCTTATTGCCTATTATCGAAAGTTAATATGTCAGTGTATAAATATATTTATGTTGCTGTGATCATCTCAGGAGTCCAATATTTTTGGTGCCTATCTGGACTGTTAAGCATGACACTATTTCTTTCCCTAGTCAAAAAGTAATGAATGATTTTCAAAAATAATGTTTGTTTAATGCTGCACTCAGCAGTAATATAACTATGTGATGATCTGTAAATAATAATATCTGCACCAGACAATCCAGTGACTGACATCATGAGCATCATTATACGCAGTAGGGGTATGATGACATGAAACTAAGTCAGCGAGCCTGACCAAACTATCATGTTAGTTCAATGCTGTTGGCATAGATTGCTGAAGACACAAGACACATTCTAATCTGAATGGATCTTCATGGTTATAAGAAGGGATCTGTGAGTTAATGATATTATTTTAGTATATTCTCAAGCATGATCCTTTTGTCTGATACTGATATATAACACCACATTTTGATCATGGGTTAGCACAATGGATAAGGATAAGGGATTGCCTGCCATGCCCAAAGTCTAGGTTTGAATCTACACAAGTCTGAAGCCTATTCTTCTATGATCAGGAAAGTGCTAACAAAATGTACCCACAAATTTGTAAATCTTTTGGGATTCTGGAGTAAAAAATGCGTTTCATCAAATCCAAGTTGCTCACAAAATATTTCTTAAATCATAAACTCACACAACAATGGTGACATCACAGTGTGTTTCAAGGTTGATATTGATCTGTATAAAGTCACCATCATATTTGACAAATATCCAGGTTTTTGTGTCTACTTATGTGTGGTATTTGGTTAAGCTTGGCATCATATGGAGAGTTTGGATACATGCCAGTTGTCTAATATGTAGCATTTTGATACTGCACAGATTCAGGTGTACAAAATGAGGGTCATTATTGACTTAATATTTTGCTTGTGTAAGAGAAATATTTGAGATGTGTATGGCATTAGGAGAATGTGTTAATTGACTGTGAGAAAGGTATTGTTCCTTAGAACATTAGGACTAAAATACAGAATGAAGGTCAATCAGTGCTTAGTCTTGCATCATAATCAAGTTCAGTGAGGATGTTACATAGCAGGGTTTTACCTCAACTCACAAACCTGCATGTCCCAGGGACCCCCAGTTATTAGTTTTAAGGGTCCTTGCAGGCAATATGAGGGTTCTGTGAAGTAACAGTTTAGAGAACTGTATGTTTTGATAATTTCTTTGGAGCCAGGAATGAATCATTGATCATGTGGACTGATGGATGAAATGATGCATGTAACTGCTCTGAAAGAAACAACCAAACACTTAGCAAAGTCATAGATGTGTTGTGGGTACATGGAATAATATTGTGCGTCCCTCTGGATGCAGTGAATTTTTTTTCAGCGTCCATTCTCTACATTTGTGAGTACTGGATGCACATTTGTGTGTTGCGTAAAACCTGGTCAGTATTTTGAAAAAAAGGGGCTGCACATTTCAAGATAATATCTTTTCTTGAGATAACCTTGTGTAACAGGCACAAGGAGGACATTTTATGTTTGTATTTACATCTGACAAACTTCAGCTAAAAGCATTATATTGATCCAGCAATACTTAAAAAACGTATTTCCTTTTTTTTAAGTAAAATGATACTCACACCACTTTTTACTAACAGCATCTTTACATAAAACTGCTTTACAGATTTTACCATGTTGACAATGGTTATGGCTCTTAATCTTCAGCTGTCTGATATAAGCATGATATAGCAACCATGTTGATTGACAGGCCATGTGTACCAGCTACAGTGATAGATGTGTATCGCTTGTTATCTCTCGGTGTTGTGTGCTTGCCTGATGATTGGCTAATTATGAGCAACTTACTGAATTATCCTTTCAGTTTGTCTCAAACTTGACATCTTTATTATTTTTGTTATCTTTGACAAATGTGAGAATTTTGATTTTGTTGTAATTTCTTTAGATAATGGGACTTATTTTGTGATAAGGAGTTCCATGATGTTTTATTGATTCTGAAGTTGGTTGATGATGTGGGAAATGAAATTGAAAACTTTCGGCAGAGTTAAAAATTATGTCATAGTTCCAAATGTCAAACTCATCTTTTTTCATTTTCTATTGATCAGAATGACAGGCTTATTAATTTTGGGTTTTTAGGATAAAGTATTAATTGCAATATCTCAGTTCCCAAGTTAATTTTTAAGTGAATAAGGACCATAGCTAAGAAATACCCAAAGCCAAACACTTAACTCAAATCAACCCCTATATGTTCCTGTTTAATGTAGAGACTAGCTTGAACAACCCATGCTTGTTTGAGGCAATTGACTTAGTCGGAAACTCATATTCTGATATTTGTGGATGAATTTATATTCCAATTTGGTACTTTCATGATGTCAATCACTGGATTGTCTGATTTAGATATTTACATGCTGCCGTCTTTGTGACATTAATATTGCTGTGTGCAGTTGTTAGCACCACTCAACTAACAATGAGTATTTCAAGCATACACATTTTTCGAGCGACCTTGACCTTGTTTTTTATGTATTTGTCATTCCTCAAAAATGAAGATAAACTGGACAATCACAAAATCAATGTGTGTTTTTGCCCAACATTATTTCTTTGATCTATCGGCATATGAACGGAATGTGATCTGATACAAGATGTGACACATAATGCTCAGGGGCTCCTTCACGAAGCAACCTTTGCTAAGGTTAACCTTAACTCCCATTCTTTAACTTTGCACTAAGGTTATCTTAGTGACTTATGATCACCTTGGTGCTTTATGAAAGAAGGCCCTGGTCTGGACAAATGAGAGAAAAAAATGGGTGTTTGTTTACTCATAAACCAACTTTACAACACAATACATAAGCATGTCTGTTGGTGCTCTCAATAGTGGAGGCTGAAAACCTCAATATCCACAACAGAGATACAAAGTTGGAAGATTACTAACCAAGCATATAGACACCTGCTAGTATTTGTAGTGCCTGCTACTAATGTTGTCAAGCTCTTGAATGAAAAACTATTACCATTTTGGTATTAATCCAACAAATTCCCTGGCACAAAAAATGCGTTCGTTCTCACAAATGTTCATTTGTCGGTGTATGTCTTTTCAGATGTCCGGATGATTATGTTGGCGAGTTCTGCCAAGACTTGAACCCCTGCAGACAAAAGCTCTGCAAGCACAACAGCACATGTACAGTCATGCAGCAAGCAGACGAGGCACCCAGAGGGTTCTGCAACTGTACAATAGGTAAGACTTTCCGAACATTACATAAAGTGAATTTAACTGTTCCGTTTCACGGAAGTCATACAGAATTTTGTCTTTGATGGATGAGATGATTTCTGGCAGGAGACAAGTATTCCTTCTGTCAGCACTTTTGGCAGAGCTACTAAGAAGTCTACTTTTGGCAAAGGTTCTAAGGAACTGATCATTTGATGATCTTAGGGGGCCAGGGATATTGTATTTAGACTAGATGCTTTTTCATCTAAAGCTGCAAAACCAGATACTTTTTTAATCCAAATTGTAAAATTACTAAAAATTTATGACAGAAAATGTTTTATATCATTGTTATTTTTGTGGATTTTCAGGAACAATTTATATTTTCTTAAACATTCGCCTGTTAAAGAATCTCTCATTATTCAGTGAGCAAATGAATAATTTAAAGCTCCAGTCAGCCATATTACACCAAGTCTTGCCTGTCTCTTTTTTGGCAGATTTTGTTCTTTTGTTGTCATAGGGGAGGTGGGGTAGCCTAATGGTTAAAGCGTTGGCTCGTCACGCCGAAGACCCGGGTTCGAATCCCCACATGGGTACAATGTGTGAAGCCCATTTCTGGTGTCCCCAGCCGTGATATTGCTGGAATATTGCTAAAAGCGGCTTAAAACCAAACTCAATCAGTCAGTCAGTTGTTGTCATAGTGGTAAAAGGTTCATTATGTTCTGACCAAAATCATCAGTGATCTCATATTGAACTGTATATATATGAGACTTGAATCAATCAGACATGTGGGGATTACAAGATAGAACAGGCGCCAAATACCCAACACTTTTATCACTTGATGATTCCGGACAGAATAGACCCATGAAGATCTGCGTTGGAATTGATCTTCAGTAACCCATGCTTGTCCTAAGAGGCGACTAACAGGATCGGATGGTCAGGCTCACTGACTTGGTTGACACATGTCATCATATCCCAATTGCATAGATGGATGCCCATGCTGTTGATCACTGTATTGTCTGGTCCAGACTCAATTATTTATAGATCGCTGCCGTATAGCTGAAATATTGCTGAGTGCTGCATAAAACAACAAACCAACCATATTGAACTGTGTATGAGACTTTAATCAATCAGATGTGTGGGGATTACAGTATATGACAGATCCCAAGTGCCAAACACTTTTATCATTTGGTGATTCCAGGACAGAATAAGTCCCCAGTAGCTGATACCTGTACCCATTGGGGATCCCAGAAATCAGAGCTGTCACCCATTCATATTCAAGGACAGAACAGGTCCTTAGGGCCCAAGACAGAATAGGGCCCCAGATCTCAAAGCTTATATCTTTTAAGATTCCAGAGCAGAATTGGTCCCAAGCACCAAATGCTTGTACACCTTGGGAAATATGATGGGAGAATATTGTCCCAGTACCCAGTGGTGATTTAGGAAGAATGTGTAGATTGAATGTGTAGACTCATATTATCAATAGTTGATTTCTTGGCTTAACTATGATTATTTACATGCTAATATTATGTAGGTAATCATTGCTGATTGCATGGTAATGCAACACAGTCCCTTCAAATAGAGGAGCCTCAGCTTAAAAATTGGTCATTTGTAATAGATATTGTCACTAGAGATACCTGTGGCCGAGGAATTTGTTTCTTACACAGAGAATTGAAATGACTTGCTGTAAAAAGACACTGAAAAAGAGAAAGGTTTATATTCTTAAATCAAACAGCAGATTCATTTGTCAGCTGTCCCTGAAACATGATTCTTCCATTGAAGTGGTTGTCAAAGAGGGAAGAGTTACCTCCCTTTGTTTAGTGCAGGAGTTTTACCAGACTGTTTGAAACAGCTGTTTCCCATTAGCACTGATAAGTCATTAGTACCTTATTGTTTTCAATACGTATACAAGCTTTCAGTATCAACAGAAGTATTACATTTTTGTGTTTTTGAAAAGAAACTCCTCCGTTTGCTTGTAACTCAAAGTCATTGAAGTGTTTATTAACATAAAATGTCTACATTGAGTCAAGGGGAAGTCAGTTGTGTCTGAAACAAACTATTGGGAATTAGACAATGTTGTTTACTTCATAGTCAACACTATCACAGTTGTATTCAGGACTAAGAGAGACAATGTTAACTCTGTTGTTGTTTTACCATTTTCAGAAGGTTTTTCAGAAGAATGAGTTGATATTGCCCTGTTAAAAGTTATAGTCATCAGGTGTGATTAAAATTTAACATCACATCCTTTTGCCCTGCCATATTGAGTTATTGTCTTTAAATGAACACTTTCTCCACTGGTGTGAACAATAATCCCTTTCATCCACATAGGAGTTTTACGCCAGTTTTATGTTGGTCTTATGCAGTCAATAAGATCATATTCAATGGCCAATTTGACCTATCACGAATTCAACAGCCATTGAAGCCAAAGGACAATATTACACTCAAATTCTTATAGTTGTTTATTGGATGCTGTGTGTGTAAATGTATGGAAGAAAACAAATGTTTTCATATGTTTCAGGCTACCAGGGGACAAATTGTGACATGCTTGACAGCAACAGTGCCTGTGTCAGCTACCCCTGTCAGAATGGAGGGTCCTGTTCCAACATCCACAGCCTCTCGGACTTCACCTGCCACTGTATGCCAGGATATAGGGGTATGTGTGGCACCAGGCCATGGTGGCTCTATTCCAGGTAGCACCCGTGGAGATCAGTGTTAGAATTGGTCTTCAGCAACCCATCCTTGTCCTTAGGGGCGACTGACGGGATCGGGTGGTCAGGCTCGCTGACTTAATTGAGACGTCATTGTATCTCAATCGCGTAGATCAATGCTCATGCTCTTGATCACTGGACTGTCTGGTCGAGACTCAATTATTTATGGGCCACTGCCATATAGCTGGAATATTGCTGAGTGTGACATTAAACAACAATTGTTGCTCATTTGTGCCCTAACAGCGGCAATTGAGTTAAATCAACTTCCTGAAACCGAGCCGTGTTTTGTGTAATGTGTACTGTGTATGTGTTATTTCATATTTCAGGCCGATATTGTGAGTTAGATGATCATTGTGCATCTATGCCGTGTCGGAATGACGGAAGATGTACGTCCTCAAGCTATGGATTTACCTGTGAATGTACGCGAGGATTCCGTGGAAAGACTTGTATGGATGATGTTGACGAGTGCAACGAGAATTCAAACCTATGCTTAAATGGCGGCTGGTGTCAGAATACCTATGGAGATTTCGAGTATGTATTGGGTCTCAAGCATATAGTACATATTCTTTATTCCAAAATTATTTTATCACCTGATGATTAACTTATCTTTTTTGTTAACACCTGGCATCTTCACTGATTGTCAGGGATTCATACAAATAATCTGCTTTGCTGTCTTGCCTGGTCCAGATTTACATAACGGGAATAGCTAGAAATTTGCTGACTTGCATAAAGTAAAGTGTCAAGGAACCTGTTAAATTAACTAAGTGAAGTTGTCAAATAGCATTTTGGTTTGTTCAGTTCCAAGTCAGTAAGGTCACAATATGGCATACCATATTGTCCTAGTTACCGCATGAAGCCAGGAAGTCACATGCTATAATAACGACCCTTTACCAATCAAATCTGTAAGATAACCGCCATGACACATTGTTTGGACAAAAGCAAGAAAACCAGGGGTCAGTGTCATTACCCTGATCTGAACAATTGATGAATCCAGAAGTCAAATGCTACTGCTTCTGCCTTGATGACCGTCAAATATCAATACAACAGACTTGTCCCATAAACTATACATCTTTGATGGGATAAATATGTAAATTAGATCAATGTATGCAGTTGAATACAGTGTTTAAAGTTGCTTCTCAATGACATATTGACTGACATTACCAAAATGTTTTGGTTCGGCTTTTCCAAAGACTTATTCTTTCGACAAACATGTCAGCAAATTATCTGGCACTCTATGATAAATGAGCTGGTTCACTCGTACATTGGGTACACAATTCATACACAATTAATTATCCAAATGACATCTCAAAGTAAAAGCTTGGTCCTTTCTTATTGTTGTTTTAGTCATCATTTTGCATTTTTGTCTAAAGGTTTTTGAGTATGTCCCAACTTTGACACAGCACTGTTTACTGTGGATGAAGTTGTGTTGATTAATTAAGAATGATGTAATATGGTAAAGAGATGATTACTCCTATGTGTTTCTCTATTGTGATTAGGGCTGGCGGGGTAGCCTTATGGTTAAAGCATTCGTTCGTCACACCGAAGACCCAGGTTCAATTCCCTACATTGTGTGAAGCCTTTATCTGGTGTCCCACCGCCGTGATATTGCTAGAATATTCCTAAAACTGGCATAAAACTAAACTCACTCACTCACCCTATTGTGATTGTCTTATGTTTTTATGAACAATTTACACCGAATAATGATGCTAATTTGTGGCATGAAGGTGTGAGTGCCCAGAGCGGTATACTGGACGCCACTGTGCGGAGAGGTACATCCCATGTAACCCAAGTCCCTGCCAGCATGGAGGCAGCTGTACCAGGACCGATGAGCTGCAGTACCAGTGTACCTGCCTTGCTGGTAAGTCCTTTGAAGCCCTTCTTTTAGAAATATTACACATCCCATGGTGATTTTTGTACATAATGTTGGTTGAAGCCCTCCATTTAGAGGTATTACATACCTCATGGTGTTTTTCATATGTCATGTCACTTAGAGCCAGCCATTTAGAGAGATTGCATTACCCATGTAGTCTTTGGTACATCATGTTGTTTAAAACCCTCCTTTTTGAGGGATTACATGTTGTATTTCATGTGTTCTCCACCTTTAACTCTTCGAATTGAAATGTGACCCTGCACACTTTGTTCAGCAGAGGTGAGAGTTGTCAGCACTTTGATGGTACATGAGTGACTGAATGAACACATTGCAGGACCATTATCACATTTTAATCCAGTTTTATTTTGCCATCCTGTTGACCATGTGCTGTGTGACAATTATGACCAGTACATGTGAAATAATTGCGACAATAATGAATGACTAGATCATAGCGCAGTTAATATTTAATCCTGCATTGTGGCCCCAGTGTCACGATCTTCCTGCTGCCCTGTGGATCTGCCTTGACCAATGGTGGTAATGGCCGTGCTATAATTGCGAAGGTGATATATTGGGGCTGTCAGATATGACAGCCTGTCACATCAGGGTGTTTGTGACCAACATAGATTGACTGGTTCAGAGGGAAGATGACATTTAACTGACTCTAACATCCCTGGCCCGCAGTGACCACTGGCTTGTGTCAACAAAGGTTTACATTAGTATGGGACTGATGTTTTTGTGATTTGGCTCACAAAATAATCAAATGTCATCAAAGGCTGTGAATGTAGATCAGAAGTGTTCCCATACGCAAAAATAGCACACAGACCTCATGCCTGACTAGTCTTCTTGTGCGCATTTTGGCCTTGAAAAGATGTAAACATATGTTGTACTGATCACAATGTGGAGATTCCTGGCAGAATAGTCCCCATGTACCTCATGTTGGTCTTCCTGTAGGGACTAGGTAGAATGTATCTGTGGTATCTCCTGCTGATCTTCCTGTATGGACTCCAGGCTGAATAGGCCCCATGTACCTCATGTTGGTCTTCCTGTAGGGACTAGGTAGAATATATCTGTGTTATCTCCTGCTGATCTTCCTGTATGGACTCCAGGCTGAATAGGCCCCATGTACCTCATGTTGGTCTTCCTGTAGGGACTAGGTAGAATATATCTGTGTTATCTCCTGCTGATGTTCCTGTATGGACTCCAGGCATAATAGCTCTGTACTGTCTCCTGCTGATGTTCCTGTAGGGATTCTAGGCATAATAGCTCTGTACTATCTCCTGCTGATCTTCCTGTATGGACTCCAGGCATAATAGCTCTGTACTGTCTCCTGCTGATGTTCCTGTAGGGATTCTAGGCATAATAGCTCTGTACTATCTCCTACTGATGTTCCTGTGGTGATTCTTTGCAGAAAAGGCCCCTTGTATTTCATGTTGGTCTCCCTATAGGGACTGGGTAGAATATCTCTGTGGTATCTCCTGCTGATGTTCCTGTGGGGATTCTGGGCAGCTTGTACCTCCTGCATGGATCCCAATGAAATTCTGGGACAGAACAGTTCCCTGTTATATCTTGCTGGAGGGACTCTAGGCAGAATATATCCCAGGTTCTTCACGCTTGTCTAATTGAAAGGATTTGGGACAGCACGTCATGGTTTTCTACCAATGAAATTGTTGGTGACAGTGTAAAACTTAGCATGTCATTGTTCCATCCACTGCTGAGTTTCAATATGTCAGTCCTTGTAATATGTACTTCTACAAATAAATTATTGTTTGCCATATATAAAGATTAAAGATATTTCGTCCATACAAAGAATTATAAATATTACAGTCAATGTACAAAGGATGATAGATACAGATTTTACCATACACGAGACTGTGTAAAATCTGCAAACATGATATACATTACAATACTTACACACACACACAGGCTGTGATGATTCACTTGTGTATTTGGCAAATCGAACCATATTCCTTCATGAATTCAATTCAGTATCTGTGATTGCTAAAATTGAATATTAATGAATTTTTATGTAAAGAGTGTTGTGAATTTGGTTGTTAATTATCAAACCAAATTGGCCAAATGGAATATATCCAAAACCGTCACTACAATAGTCAACACTTTTAAATTTCTTTTGACAGTAATGTGGTCACTGGTCATTGGTATGACAAATTATCACTGTCAGCATGGCGAAAACATGTCAAATAATCTATTTTGTTATTTCTCACTGAATATAATGAATAATACATCAACTGGGGACATGGTATGGAATCTGTGAAAAGTAGTAGCATTTGTTACCCTATATTTGTGATATGTACCATACTTGTCTTATTGTGGATTCATTGCAACCCCATAACATACATGTACGCACGCACGCATGCATGTACACACACACACACATTCATACAGCACTCTTAAATGGGTGGTAGTAGAAGGATATCTCTATAGTATTAACGAATGAAAAATCGGAAATATTTTGTTTGCATATCAGAGTGTGAGAATGCTTTTGTTCTGAAGGAAAGGCTATAGCTGTAATGGGGAAGGGGTTTGTTGAGGATAGTGATGGAAGAGGGGGTGATTTAGCAATATCGTTACAGTCGAAAATGACCAACACTATGTAATTGTTTAAGCGGTATTCTAGAAGTTGGTGAGTCAATAATGAAGCATAAGGCTTCATGGATAACAACTTTTTGTTTATCTTTTCCTTGTTTATTGCATGGAGACATTTCGGTGTAAATTCTCACACCGTTATCAAGCTAAGCGGAGAATGCCTATAAAACAATTAAGAAGTTGTTATCAATGATAACACCAAAACGTTGCTCTCTGCAGTAAACAAGAGGCTGTTATCCATAATTTGAATGCTTCATTATTGGCCTACACTAAGTAGTATATACGTTATACGCACTGTTCCCAGTTTTGAGTTATTTTGCAATTCATCATTCTCAATTGGAGACAAAGTGACTGTACATGCATACACAATAGACGAATGATCTTCAGCATTTTTACAAAGCAGTCATTTTCATCATTTCATGATTGATAGACTCACATCACTTCTTACAGAATTGTGATAAAATATGAGGTCTTTTTAAAAGCAAAAAATGAAGAACACTATCTTATCGTTTAGCGTGAACAAAAGAAGTTCATGTCTTGGTGTATGGTTACAAGTCTGTGATAGATTTGAATAGAGGAATTTCCCATATATGGTTTGATGCAATCAGCCATGCAGCTAATGAACAAACTTAACATTTAGCTCAAATGCTCATTTTTCATTGGTTAGGACAGGCAATTACTCTTTCGTCCTGCCATCGGAACAAAAGGCCTGTCATTCTCCCACCAAACACTCTCGCCAAAGAAGTTTATTAAATATGAGGCCCCTGGTTGTGAACATTCATAAGCAATTGTTTTCTTGACATGCTTATAAAACTACATCTGTCGACAAATTCTTTAATAGAATTATTTCATGTGATGTCCCGTTATTCAATCTTTGTTTTCAGGGAAGTAGTTTTATACAATATTTGCTTGCTCAGGATGAATTTATTTGTCCAACTTCTGGCAAGTGCGTATTGCTCACATGTCGATGAAGTCATTTTCTAATTAAACAGTCTTGCCACAAAATGATCACTCGGTTTGATTGCATATTTTTCTTTCTGTGTTTGTTTTGATTAAGAGCTTTTTGGGGTGGCTGTCTGATTTCTTTGTTTACTGACTTCCTATAAATCTTACAACTCATTCGCAGGGTTTTACATAATAATGGACATTTTTTCATTTTTTGGTCAGATTCCTTTTAAATCTTAATCTGTTAAATGTTAGAGGCCAAATATCTTTATGTACTTGAAGCTGTTTAATGGGAGAGGTAACTGACTCTTACTGTAAAACACTTCACAACATTGCTTGAAGAATGACAGACACCTACAAATAAAAGAACCCAAATTCTTTGAAAACTTGTTTATTCACTGAAAGTGTTTTTAGTAATTATAAAACCTCTTTGAAACTTTGGTAGTGAAAAGTTGGTCAGCAAATTCTGGTATTGACTTTTACATATAATAGTTTATACAGCAACTTGATGTGTTCCCTTACTTGATATGATGCACTGGTCTCAGTTTTCAGTGTAATAGTGTGAGGTTTATGATCTTGCTGCAAACAGGTACTGAAAACAATTAGGCAGTTACTGTTTTTCTGACACGATTGTTTTGCTCCTAAAGTATAGTTGTTAGATTCAGTGGGTGATTCAGAATCATTAATGACTTGTCCTATTGAGAACAGCTCCCAACTTAAACTTGAATGGCTTCCATTGCGCCATTATTTTCAGAATATTAGTTCTGCGGCAACTAATTATAAATAGTGCCTTCAGATAGCTGTTATTGCATTTATTCCCCATTATATGTGAGGGTTTCTACACTTCAGCTAATGGGTCAACTATGCTGCCCAAAATGTGGCGTTTTTCTTGAGCTAACGATCAGGTTTGTTGATTCTGATGCAAAAACCTACTCAGAATCTGGAATAAGCCTCCTATTCAAGGACAGGTAACTCTCAGGCAAACACACTGACGAAGTGCTTGCGATCAGCCCCTATAGGCAGTGGTGTGGGCTGCGATCGACAATCCATCCTGCGGAACTTCTAGGGGCTAGTTATTCACAAAGACAACACAAATGCGGAGCCCGAGTCCACAAAGGATTTGTTTGTTTCGAGAACAACGCATACTTTTTCCATAAGACAAACACATGGTTTAGAATGCACCCATTTCTCCCAGTGATATCATCCTTTGAACTTGTCCCAGGCCAGGCAGAGTCTGGATGTGGAGCAAGAAGCAACTGGAACGCTGAAACACAGCAGATCTAGATGTAATTGAATGGACATGAACTTGAACCATCCAGCCAAGATTGGGGGTGTTTCAGCAAGGGTGTTGATTTGAGTCTCAACTGGGAAAACCTCTTCAACATTTGCATCCAGATTCTGTGACTGACAAGAATCAGCAGCTTATCTTGTGACTTATA